AAACGATATAAAACGAATAAGTGTGACCAATTTTTGAAATGTAACGTGTAACCAGCTCAGTTTCAAATCGGAGTTTGTAAACCAAACCGCCAGTTGAACCGGTTTGGGTTAAACTACTTGATACGTTTTTTTTAATTTTATTAATGACGATCTCTGGACCACGAATTATATAATCCGAGTCCTGTGTAACTTTTTTACGCGTAATTTTATTTTTGCTTTTAGCTCAATGTCCACTGAACTAGATTTGTCAATTAAGTCATATTTTGAGAGTACACCCGTTTTATTATGGTCATATTTGGGTTTTCTAAAGACATTAAAATCTTATTGCATCTCGGAAGAACATTCGATGGACGATCTAAAATCCATTTGGAGGAAGCGATATATAAACTTTCTAAGTAACTTTCTTGCTGAGAAAGAACACGATGGGGACATCAAAAAGCGTGTAACTCTTCTGATTCGACAGGTTCGTCATATTTCTGTTTATTGCGATCTATCTCTAAACCATCATTGGCGAGTTCTATGCAACCTATGAGGGGTGCCGTTCCCCAGCACTGTATCTCACGATCTTCTCTGCTGTTGCATGGCTTAGAGAGGGTGCCGTTCCTCCAGAAAGATCAAGCGAAACATATTAAACATACTACTTTCTTGATTGATATTTTCTAACTGCTTTCTATTCTCGAGTTTATTAGAAGCGTCCATCTGAAGAAAAGAGCTTTTGGGATAGTGTTGAAATAGAGAGAGAGTTGATGATAAAAGAGGTATGTATGACTTTGAATAGTCTTAAATTATTTTGATTTTAACATGATCATTTGGCAATTTTCTAGGATGTTTTCGATAAGAAATCACAGATAGAAGCGTTGGATGTGCTCTGTATTTCTCGTAGTCAGAAATCTAATGAGTATGTTAATAAAGTAAATTCACACCTACTGGAACAAGCTGAGGAGATATCAAGAGGGGAAGAAGTGGGTACCATAATAGGACAAAAGCGATCTTATGAGGAAGATTTATCTTTGATATCATCAGGCAAGGTCTGAATATTTAGTTTTCAGACATGTCTTTTAACCCTTTTGAAATATGTGCGCAGATCAGAACAATCAGTATGGAAGTGGATGACAATTTAGTGTTCAATGATGAGACGAACATTGCTACTTTTTCGCAAAATCAACTGCAGCTGATAAGATGGAAACGATTCCTCAAACAATAATGCAATCTAATAGCAAGGATGATGATTTATTTCTCGATGATGAAATTAATGATGTGTCAGCTGAAGTCCAACAGTTCATTGCGAAAATGAAGAGAGTGGAGCACCGTCTTTTTGATTATCATATTATCAACCTTTCTGAGCGAAATCAAATGGACCCAGTTAACAAAATCTTTACAGACAATGAGAGGAAAATGATGAGACAATTCTGGGAAATTGTATGTATCAATTACCTAAAGCTTTTTTAGATTTAAACCAATTGTAATCTTGTTAATTCTTGTAGGGTGAGCTATCGGCTGAGGAGAAATTAAACACTGTACGTCGATCTAAATGGGGCAGCATAAAACAACTCATTAATAAATATACATCTGCAGTTAAGCTTGGATTGATTTTTGACGAAGAAGAATTGCCAGCAGAGACTATTTTTGAAAGGCTATTTGAAGGAAAGCTTGTATTTAGGACTCATTACGACCTGTTGTGGATTCAGGATGTTTATAAGCGATTGTAGGCAAAGAATTAATGAATAAATAATATTTGATCACGTAATCATATTATTTATAGTCACTAACACATCTTCATTCTATTTAGTGTACTCCTATTTGCCATGCCATTCAATAGACTTCCTCTCAGACTATAGTCCTCCTTCTATAAAAGAAAAGGATAACTAATGACTTTTTCCTGAAGGATATAATGCAATAGAAAATTTGGAATAAAGATGTGGTAGCAAAAGGCCAAAGAATAGTGCAGTCGCACAATTCACAATTCACTTATGAAAGTAATCAATTTTGTTGAGTGTTTGTTTGTAGTTATATTGATAATAATGATAATAATAATAATGGTTTTTTTTATAATATTTTAATTTGGAGGGGTTGTTTCACAATTGTAAAGAAGTATCAAACACAAAGGAGTGTAACATGATCTGTTTAAAAGTGATCAATAATTTTTTTATTTTTTTGCCATTATCACCACCAATCCCACTAAATTTGATAATTAAATAATAATTTCACTTTGTCTATATGCCCCAAATATTTAATTTTTGGTCAAAACTCGCAAAAACGTTAAAGACACATTTCACAATTTTATAAATAAAATTTTTCATAAATAATATAGTAATCATCTTATATAAAGATTTCCAAGTTGAATATAAATTTTAAATTATGCTGAGTCATCCTGTTCTCCAGGTGAAGTTATTTCTAGAGCATAGTTTTCCTCGGGCTGTCTTTCCCAAGTTCTTACAGAATCATAAAGCCTTTTTTATAAAAAAAGGTTATAGAAATTATTATTACTAGTTTACATTTGTTGTAAATTGTTTTATTAAAATATATTTACCATTCTTTTCTTACTATATGGATAGATCCATATTTTTTTGCTTGTTTTACTTTTTCAGTGCCCTTCTGGTAATATTAATTAATTATTAATAATAAGGATAATAATAATAATGATGATGAGGATTTATACTTACATCACCAGCAACGAGATGTGTTACATCTTTATTCCAATACTCTGAACACTCTGCACCGAACTCATTTGCTAATAACCAAATTTCTGTACTAAATAAATATTTTGATAAATAAAAAAACTGTTTATTAATTTGTTGATAAAGGATTAACTAATAAAATTTGACATAACCATTATTTATTGTAACAAACCTGTCTTTTTTTTGATTCGTTGGAATAACATGAGTAAACAAAATATTGACACCTTTAAGAACCTTTGATTTCATTTGTGGCATTAAAAGTGTTACATCTGGACGATCTATTTCATCATCAATCCTTTCGTTTAACTCATTTGATATTATATCATATTCATCATAGAATTCTTGGTGAATATTTTTCAGTACCTTTTTTTTTAATTAAAATACCCATGTATATTAATAGTTAATTCTTAATAACTAAATTATTAAAGCAATTTAAATTATTACTTTTAATAAATTAGGCAATTCTGTGTCATTGTCTACAAGTATCAGCTTTCTATTAATAAATTGATTATTTGTATTATGTAAAGGTAATGTTTGTTCCAGTATTTCAGTGTCAATATTATTGGATGATAATTCTTTTTGTTGTCTTTTAAGTGACTTTTCATCTGACACTTCAATATCATCAGCTATTTCTATAAAAAATCTTATTGAATATAAATTGATGATTTCAAAGAAAATTCATTAAATTAAACTAATAAATTTTATTTATAATCTTACCTTCAAATGTCCTTTTTTTCTTGTTTGAAGGATTTATTTCAACAATATTAAATCCGTTATTAGTATTATTTGTTTCAGATTGTTTTTCAATTTTATTGGAAATGGTCATATCATCAAAATCTACTTGTATAATAAATAAAATGTTATATACCTATTTATTTATTTAATATAAACACAGCTTCTAATGAACAATTCTTTAACTGTACCTTTATCTGTTTTGACAGTTTCCTTTTCTATTAAATCAAGAGATTTGTTTGTTTCTGACTGTTGTTCTTTACTATCCTTGGATATTGCAATGGTTTCTATTATATTAAATAACACTTTTTTCAGTAATAATGATGATGATAATGACATTTCTTATAAATTTAAAAAAAAATCAAAAAAGTCACCTTTGGCTATATTTGAGTTGTCTATTGACATATCAATTGATCCTGTTTGTTCCATTTTCTCTATTGATTCTGTTTGTTCTGTTGGTTCCATTGATTTTTTTGATTCTGTTGTATCAGGATAAACAACTTCCTTCATATCAATATTAGTAGAAACACTTGTTGAATCGGAAACTAGATTTGACCCTGTCTATAATAAAGAATAAGTTGGAATATAAATGATATATGGAATAACCATAGAAAGAAACAAGTAAGGTTACCAACCTGTTTTGGTAAATATGTATCGTTTATATCACCAATACCCACAAAAAAATCATCTCAATTGACATGATAATAGAAAAAATAAAACATAGATTAAAAATATGTAATTGTTTGATAAAATTATTAATTAAACAATTTGATTTAAACCTACAAGGTTGAACCTTAATTAAATTAGGTGACCAACCCCATACATCAGCTCTATCATCTATAACTACAACCATATAATCATTACAAGGAAAAAGTCTTCTAATATTTTTTTGTGTGATGCCTTGGAGGAAAAAATTATATATAAAATTTGATTAATACTTGGTATTGGGGGGGGGGGGGGGGTGATTCAAAATCATTAAAGAACATACTTCCACTTTCGTCACGTGACAATATGCGTTCATTAAAGATTTCATTGTCAGGATCTATAACATTCGCTACAGCAGAAGCGTAATTACGTGTGCCCATGGTGTATATATGTGGTTCATAATATACAGAAATTTCTTTAAGAAATTCTTTAATACCAGGCCTAAGTTTTTTAAAGATCAAAAATTATTTTAAATATATATACAATAGTAGTCAATAATTAGTAGTATGGCTTCATTATAACAAAATTTAGTATGTACCTTAATTTGATATAATAAACAGTTGGACTATCTGGAAGAACGAATTTGTGAATATCTTTGATAACAGGATTATTTTTGTTATTTTCATCTTTAAACCATTCTTCCACTGTAGAATCAACAGTAGCATGAATGAGAGTTTGATCTAAATCAACTATTAAAGAAAGTTTCTTTTCTTTTAATAATCTTTGTGATGTTTCTTCTTCTAATCTTTCAGCCTCTGTATGACTCACTGTCAATCCCATAATATTGTGAGCCATGCTGATAGTAGCTCTTTCTCTGTAATTAATTTCAGATGATTCCAATGCCACAACATCTTTACCACAAAGAGCACACAATCCATGCAACTGAATTTCATGTGTACAAGAATCTTCAGTGGCAGAATTATTAGCACTCATGTTTGAATTTCAAAAATTAATAAAATTATTATGTTAGTATTATGATTGCTGCGGAATAATTATTTAATTTGATTTGATTGATTTACATTACATATCTTTTAAAAAATTTTCCTACAAAAATGAGCCGATTTGGAACTTTATATCGTGGTTCAAGAAGAATACCTATGACTGCAAAAAGAGGCCATGAATATTATAAAGGTGATTGGATTGTATAATTAAAAATGAAATGTTGTTGAATACAAATATTAAATTTTATAATAATATAACGAGTTCTATAGGTAATCGTAGTGGTGCGATAGGTTCACACACAAAGAAAGGTCGGTTGCATTAAATATAATGGGGGGGTTTTTTTTTTTAATAATAAAATTTTTTATAAATCATTTGTTATCTTTAATTTCTTTTCAGGTGGTTATCGAATTGATATTAAAAAAGTTCGAAATTTCATTGTGCCTGATTTGACTGATTTTAAAGTAAATATAAGATTTTATTTATTATTTATAATTATTATTAGTTGTTGATTATTGATTATTAATTATTAGCTTAAACCATACGTTGATGCAAACATTAAGATTAAACCTTACGTGTTTACACCAAGAAATTATTTGTATATGGCAAATAAATATGCAAAGGATAACAATTTGATTGATTTATATTATAGACCAAATAATTCGAATTCATCCATCACAACACAAGAACATCAAAAACAAGTCGATTGAAAAAATTCAAATAATCAATAATAATAAAAATAATTAAATGATTTTATCTAACTTTCAATTTGTTAGATTTGACCCTGCCAACAATTCCTACTAATATCAATCCGACTGCTGAAAGCCAAACCCACAAATTATCAAATTGGTTTTTTGTCCAATCATTCTGTGTACCTCCAATAGCAGTTAAATAAATAAGAAATAATAAGAAATATCCACTCATACGATGATATTTATAAATCCTTTGTGCCTTGGTAACTCCTCCAAATAACCCAGGAAAATTTACCAAAGTGCCTCCTGCAACTGATTGGATTATCAAAAGTATAATTGTTATTAATCCAAATACTCCATGAGGAGTTGTGACTTTTTTTCATAAAAAAAAAGATGATTTTCGTTAGTTGAAAATAATATATTGTAGCTTTACAATAAAAAATACAAAATAATTACAATGTTCTTTATCATTCATATTTTTAAAAGTGAAGGTGACGTAAAATCCGCCGATTGCACTTAATAACGAAATGGTTTGAATCAATCTATGCAAGTCAAGTCCCAAACTTTTTTCTTCCCTGGTCATAGTTTGTTGAAGAGCAAGAATGCCTATTAAATGAATCAAGTCGTTGAAATCTTTTAGATATCCATTTATTATAATAATTAATTGTTAGTATATATATATATATTATATTATCCTTACCATTTGTCACCATGAAAATAGTTAAAGCCATCAATGTTGGATGCCATACAAAAAAGAAATAATCAACGTTCCACATTATGTACCAAACGGTACTAGAAAATAATAAAGCACCAAGACTAGCGGTCAAATACAAAATAAAGGCCATGTTAAAGGTTTGTATATATGGTGTTTGGATAAAGTTGACGTTGTTATTAATTTTGTGGAATTAATTAGGATCTTCATATATATGAAGAGAAATTTTATATATATATACACCGTGTAAC